GTGGTGATGATGGGAAAGTTGTGAGTGGACTTATGTAAAAGACACATGAGGTGGGACACCGTTAAATGGACAACACTGCAGTAATCACCAAGAGCGCAGATTGTATTGTGGTACTTACCGTCCAGAAACATTACAGGAGCAACGGCAAGAACAAAACAGCATTGCAAGTTTTAGCTTAAACATTGGCATCAGAATAGGGCTTCAAACTGCAATTCGCAACCATAAAGCTGCCGTATACCTGATTGCCAAACACTGAAACAAGGCATACGTTCTTTAAATCTAATGTGTTCCTATTTGTAGATTATTTATTTACCATAATCAGTAATCACATGTTTGTATGTTTGCTCACCAGCACAACCGTAGAGCAGAGTTTTCCACACAGAACCACACAATCACTTCCTCTCAGGCCATAACAGTTCAAGACAAACGCAAAGAGACACACGTTCCCCTCTCTACATTACAAAAATTAGCGTCAATCATTTCAACTTTAGCAAGCAATATCACCGTTAATCCAACAACCAAATATCCTGTGGGCTCAGAGAATATATAAATGGGACACACAGATAAACACTGAACACTGCCGAAATTAAAAAGGGATTGGTCAAAGAAAACCGCGTATTTTAATCTAATCGCCTCCACGCCATTCAAACACATACTACAATACCGGGCGGCACGGTGGCTTCTCGCGTCTCAGCAAGAAGGTCCTGGGTTCGAATCCCGGTCGGACTAGGGCAAAAGTGAATATGTTCCTTGTTAATGCAACCTTAGCAGCAAATTAGTGATATATGTCTTTAAAGAAGGCACTGGTTTAGATTAAAGCTTTTAATTCAGGGTAATTTGGTTTCTACGATAATACCTCGTCAACGTAGATAATTATATCCTGAATTGAAATCATAATGTGTGCAATGTTTGACTTGACATTCTCCCAAGGACTTGCAACCTTTCCTACATTAGCATATAAGACATACAGTGGAGCACTTGAACCTTCTTCACGGCTCGTCCGCCTTAAAACCAGCGTGTGAGAAGAAGACGGGTCTGCAGCACCCTTGGGACCCTCTGCAGTCACCCTCCATCTGTTCACAGCGTCAGCAATACATGCTCCTTCAGCCCCACCCTTCACACACATCCACATAGGGAGGGCAATACGGCATAAAATAATGTTGATGAAGATTTGATCACAATTCAAGTAAACTTCATGCCTAGACAGAAACTCGAATGATATTTTGCAGGACATGACTCTGTTGCCACATCTCAGCGATTTCACACGTTTACACTACAAGCATGAAATGTAATGTTTATAGTGCAGAGAAAATGATAGAAAAACTGATTTGCTTCTTTAGAACAGTCATAATTCACCGTAGAGAATGTTTGTGAATATCAATATCAATATCTTTAACAGTTATATACTTTCAAAGGCAAAGTGAAACTGGCATTTTGTGTGACAGTAACGTTTCGAGCTGATATAAGTGCACAAGAACGGGATTAGGTCTTCCCTTTCTCACACCTACGCATGAGTAAGTAAGTAAGGTTTATTTATACAGCGCATTTTTACAGACCAAGGTACAGACCCAAAGCACTTTACAATGTTCAGAGTCAGATATTGTTCCAATCCTTCCACACACGGTGACGACAGAAGCGAGTCCAGAACACACTGGACCATCAGCTCCAACACCATCCATTCACTCTCTCATTTACATTCAGACCTACTGTGCATGTTTTTAGTGGTAGGGGAAACCGGAGCACCCGGAGGAAACCTAGTAAGTAAGTAAGTAAGTAAGTAAGTATTTATTTATATACCGCCTTTTCACTGCAGATCTGAGTCTCAAAGCGGTTTACAATTGTTAATTTTTGGGCATTTGTCTCTCACTCCACACAGAGATGGGAGCGCGGTCGCCATCACAGGAGGCGCATGCTAGAACTATTGGACATATTTTTAGTGGTAGGGGAAACCGGAGTACCCGGAGGAAACCTACGCAGACACGGGGAGAACATGCAAACTCCACTCAGAAAGGCCCTGGTCCGACCGGGATTCGAACCCAGGACCTTCTTGCTGAGAGGCGAGAGTGCTATCCACTCAGCCACCGTGCCGCCCTAACCTACACGGGGAGAACATGCAAACTCCACTCAGAAAGGCCCTGTTCCGACCGGGATTCAAACGCAGGACCTTCTTGCTGAGAAGCGAGAGTGCTATCTACTCAGGCACCGTGCCGCCCAGGATTTAAATGAACTGACTGCTCACACAACGCAAACAGACAAGGGATAGAAGTGATTATTAGGCTGACAATGTGGGGAAGGCGACGGGAACCATTTCTCAGGAACTACAGCCGATAATTGATCTGACCTGCTCTCACTTCCTGGGTCTATCAGGATTCATTTTCTGGACCAGAGTATCCAATCACCTCTTTGGGAATCACGCTATAATTGTGTGACGGGCCAAATTGAACTCACAAATATTGAGGTTAGTTTCAAACTGGTTTTCAAAGTGGGTCAAATAATTAATGTTTGTCAAGTAAAAATATCTGAAATACATTTTTTTTGGATAGGGTGATGGTCTGTAGCCTGCACATGTGGTGAGAGGACAGTCAAAGTCACATCCTCGTTCAGGACGTCCCAGAATAGCCGCAGGTCACTGGTTTGGCCACCTCTGCCGTTTATTTTTAACTCTGCGACGATGCTATTCTAAAGTTTTTACAGGCAAAAACATGTCTGGTCCGACGGGAGACTTTCACAGAGTTTGGGGACTTGCCGAGCCGTGTCAGCTTAAGGGAATAATTGGATTAAGAGGCAGCCGGCTGGTGCTGACAGGGAGGGGCCGCTGATAACAGGGGCCTCCAGGGGTCCCGGGGGGCTCCAGACATGCACGGCCGGCTCCCAGGGCTTCAGCGGAGATTAGGCGCAGGATAAAAGGATAACTGTCGGCAAGTGCTCGTCAAGCCCCCTGGCATTTCGCCGCACTTTACAATAAAACCAACGCGTTTCGCTAACGACGACACAAGCACAATCTGATGCCCCTTCAGCGGTGGGTGTTTGGGGATATTGGTCCCGCCCTCATGTTTTCCGGGGCAGTGAAGGCCAAAAGCACCATGGGTTTGTCCCCAGAGTCTGTGCTTTGGTTTTATTGTTTTTCAAGATGTGCAGGGAGTTACAATTATTATTTGAAATCAATTATAAAGATGGCAGTAAAGACAAGCATGAAAAAGTGAGAACTGTGGAGTAGTAAAACCTTCCCACATTCAAAGGTACATCTACAAAGGTTTAAACTTCTAATTGTGGAATATGACCAGTGAGTCTATTTGTATATATATATAATAGTCTTTGACACCACTTGCTGAGATAAATGTGAGAACGTGTTGGAGATGAGGCTGACCTGGCGTTTGTCTTTCTGCAGATGCTTTGTCAGCGAAACACCAATCCATCAGACTGCTCTATAATAAATTACTTCATTTCTTTCAGGGATGGATGAGTTATGGCTTTCACGACACATTTGTGAAATTCACATCAGGCGTGATGGTCAGACAATATAAGAACTTTAGAACTTTCAATGTTTAAAAAAATCTCAATCTGCTCCTCAGATGTTTTGTTCTCTCTCTCGTCTGGGATTAATCCTGTGAATGTTAATGTATAGAAACATATAATAATCATCAGCATTTCCACAGCCTACTGAGCTCAGCAGGTCAGTGTAAATGAATGTATGACATATTAGGCGGCAGTAGATGGGATTTTTCATTTTCAAGTAGATCTTTGCAACTCTCTACAAATATCACAGAGGGCGGAGACTGTTTGGAACATTTGGTAGTATTCAGAAATGTTAAGGTTATAATTCAGTTATTGATCATGCAGTTGAAAGTTATCCAGACAGGAACAGCACAGTGGGCTCTTTGGGGGCACCTACTGGTCACTCTGTGCATGTGTCTGATGTAACCTCTCACAGAAAGTCTTAATTAAAAAAGACAATAAAAAAATGTGCCTTCTCGTTTTTATTCCATCTTCTCCAGATCTGTATCGATCATTTCATTGCTGCTAATACTTTACTTTTGTCATTTGTGCCACTAATTTGTAAGTTGTAGTTTGTTTTAATTATGCATTTTGTCTAGATTTTTACCTCTTCAAACAACTTCCACTGTTTCCATTTCAATAAACACTTCTTTTCTTTCTACACATGTGTTTATTTCATGCAGTCATTGTGCATTCACCATAATGACACTGTGGTCCATTTTAACCAGTTTAATTTAAAGAACACAGTACTTTCAAACACTTTCCTCTGTCTACAGTAGATTTATTCTAGGGATGCACAGATTCTGGTATCGGGTCAATACCACAGGCTTGTACTCGTACTCGTACCATAGGACCCAATGTGAACAATCGATACTCACATTTTTAAGTTACATTTGCGTCACAACAGCAGACAGCAAGAAAGCAGGATATCAGCCGTATGGAAGTGTTTTAAAGTAAACAGTGACAAGAGTAATGCGGACTGTACATGGAGTAAGGAAAAACACCAGTAACGTGAATCTGAAAACTCAGCACCACACGGAGTAGTTTGCCAACACTGAAGTTATTTATTTGTTTGAGTGGAATATGACAGTGGCTCTTGGTGTTGACGGTGGCTCTTACTGTTGACAGTGGCTCTTGGTGTTGACTGTTAAAACAAAATCTAAAATGTTTAATTGTAGCATTTTCTTATTGTTGAATTGAGAAATAAAACATTTTCAATTTCAGTTGTATTAGTTTTATGAATTCCCAACAGAGGATGTACTTCCTGTGGCAGCTCAGGAAAGCCAAGCTGCCTGCATCATCGAGTCCAACCCAGTGGGGGCGGGTCCCAGCGCAAAAGTGTCCAAAATGACGTGCGCTGACATGCTGCAATACCACCCCGGGCCGATGGGGGTGGACCCGGAATAAGAATTAGCCAATGCTAACATATAGCATTTAGTCGCTCATCACCTCCTCCATCACCTCCTCCATCACCTCCTCCATCACCTGCTCCATCACCTGCTCCATCACCGGAGGAGGTGATGGAGCAGGTGATGGAGCAGGTGATGGAGGAGGTGATGGAGGAGGTGATGGAGGAGGTGATGGAGCAGGTGATGAGGAGGTGATGAGGAGGTGATGGAGGAGGTGATGAGGAGGTGATGGAGCAGGTGATGGAGGAGGTGATGGAGGAGGTGATGAGGAGGTGATGAGGAGGTGATGGAGGAGGTGATGGAGCAGGTGATGGAGCAGGTGATGGAGGAGGTAATGGAAGAGGTGATGGAGGAGGTGATGGAGGAGGTGATGGAGCAGGTGATGGAGGAGGTGATGAGGAGGTGATGGAGGAGGTGATGAGGAGGTGATGGAGCAGGTGATGGAGGAGGTGATGGAGGAGGTGATGAGGAGGTGATGGAGGAGGTGATGGAGGAGGTGATCACCATCGCTGCAGGACCTGTACGTCGCCCGAGCTCGAGGCCGGGCTGGTCGTATCACAGCCGACCCCTCTCAGCCTGCACATGAACTATTCCAACCACTCCCCTCAGGCAGGAGGCTGCGGTCCATCAGGACTAGAACCTCTCGCCACAAGAACAGTTTCTTCCCCTCTGCTGTTTTGTTGTTGTTTTTTTTACCTCACGTAACAATGTTTTAGCGTAGTATATAGTGCCGCGCACTGATATGAACACAGGCCCAGCTAGAGGGCGGTAGTGATCTGTTGCAATGAGTTCTCTGTGTACGGAGTGAACGGCCGCAGCTGTATGATACACAGCTGTATGATACACACCTGTATGATACACCCGTATGATACACCCGTATGATACACAGCTGTATGATGCCCAGATGTATGATACACAGCTGTATGATACACAGCTGTATGATACACCTGTATGATGCACAGATGTATGATACACAGCTGTATGATACACAGCTGTATGATACACACCCGTATGATACACCTGTATGATACACAGCTGTATGATGCACAGATGTATGATGCACAGATGTATGATACACAGCTGTATGATACACAGCTGTATGATACACACCTGTATGATGTCCAGATGCTGCAAACACCAACACACTTGAAGGTAACGCTGTCGTCAATGACAACACTAAACAGAACAACAAATACTACAGCGTGATAGAAGCGTATATTCATTGGGTGCGTTCGTAAATGTAATCTGCCGCTCTGAAAATGAATAAATAAAAGTGCCCGAGCCCGGCCTGTGTCTGAGGTAAATATACGGTCATCGGCCCCTCGGGCCTAGGGCTCTAGTGCAGGGCTCTAGTACTCGTATCGGTATTCGGTATCAGAAAGTACTCAAATTAAGGTACTCGTATCGATTTTGAAAAAAGTGGTATCGATGTATCCCTATTTTATTCAACTATTTATGTTTCATAGACTTCAATTTTTTACAGATACAGCCATTCAAAATGTCTTGTACTATCTATTTTTGCTACTTGTATTTTATAAATGCTTGAAATGGGGTAATTTACTTTACTCAAGCTCATGGGAAAATGTTTAGTTGTTTCCTGTAATGATTCAGACAGAAACGTCTTCAAACCGGTCACATCAACAAATAAATCAATATCCAATTCAACTCAGTGATTAGAAATTCCATTGTTGCAATGCATTTGGTTCAACAGTCTTTGCCAGGGCTCCTCATCCAAACAATGGCACAGGTAGGCTTGTTGCGCTCAGCAGGCCAGTGCCTTTTATCAACACACAGTCCCTAAACCGTCCCGTGTCTCCGCTGTGGCGCATTACCATGATAAAACTCATGCATGCAGGAGATAAACTCAAGCGGACAGCGCAAACAGCTCCTCTTCTGTTCTTGAAGAGATTGAAGCGCGCTGGGTTTTGGCGGGCCCCATTCTTAGTGCACATGTGAGCACCAGCTGCTGAACACCATGTGCTATTCATCTGTGCAAATGCAAACTCACTCTGGGCTCAAATTACCAATGGGGCAATTTACAATATTGCTTAAACGTTTGGGGTAATATTGAATTAATATCATGTTCAACTTATTTTTCCCAAGGGCCAAATATTTTGAACGGCAAGTGCTTTGGGTCAGAAAACAAACGCCAAAACAGTTCCAACCTTGGACTGGGCTCCTACCGGGCAGGTTAATATGATCAAAAGGAACTATAATCAAGATTTGCCAATGGGACAAGCAAAAATGTCTGGTTTTTTAATTGAAATGTAGATTTTTACTTGAAAGGAGAAAAAAATGCTCCTTTACTTGAAAGAAGAAATGTTTTGCTTGTTCCATGTAAGATTTGAAAAAACCAATATAAACTTATATTTGATAACTTTTTCCGTATACATTGGACTGAAGGCCGGACTAGATTGTTCGAAGGACCCGATTTGACCCTTGGGCCACAAGTTGAACAGGCCTGGTATAAACCATGTTATTTTGATGAATAATTATTTTAGCTGAAAACTAATCTTAAACTTTAATTCAGGGTAAAAGTGCAATGTAAAGAAAGCAATGTTCAAGAACTTTGTGATCAATTGGTAAAAATAAGAAAGACTTGGACGAACTAAGGGAGTACTTTTCATATTTGACTTCAAACTAGTGAAATAAGTATCCTAATTAAAACATTAAACAAAAAAAGCTATTTTATATCTGACATCTTTTGGAGAGCAGAGCCAAAGATAATTCAATACTTGTTTTATGATTCATCCATAGACTCTGCATTTGGTGTTCCAGGACTCAGCAGTGCAGATGCTAAAGTGGAGGGTAGAGAAGGCACGTGAGCGCCCCCTGTGTGTGACCGGCAGAACTCCACAGTCTATGGTTTCATTCAGCTCCAGCTCTTTACCCTAACAATATTGAAATGTTTGAATTACTTGAATTCAGCTTATTATTCTATATGTAGCCATCAGATGATAGATTGCTTTTCTTATGTGACTATTACACACTATCGCATATGAAAAGAAACTTTAGACTAAATTAAGTTATGTTTTCTTACCACAATGAAACATAATTCTTGCTTGAAATAAGAAAGGAGGTTTGTGTAAGCTCTCAGTCGTTCAGGGATTAGTCAAGTAAGAAAGGTGTTGTTAGAAAATATCTAGATGAATCGAGTAACACAAGTTTTTGTCGTTTAGAATTATTAAGTATTAGCAAGTTTCAGACTAATTTACTTTAAATGTGGAAATACATTCCTTTATATATTTTAACGCTTTAGGTTGTGTCATAGTTATATATAACAGTTATGGTGATGTGCTCATGATTCTGATGTTTTTTTAATTTAGATATCGTCTTTACAAATCAACGTATGAACAATAATAACAGACAATTCAGCTGCAGGGTATAAACCTCGCAGCTGATTGGCTCGATGGTTGCTATAAGGTTGCTGAGTCAATTTGGCACCAAATTCACACCCAGCTCATCAGCGCTGGCTCAAAGAGGCATCTTCCGGTAAAAGCTATGGCTCTGCTCAGTCTCTATTACACAGTATTTGCTAAGAAAAAGTAGAATTAGCATAACATGTGCCCTAAAAAGGCATTCCCTTGGCCCTGTAAGGTATATTTGTCTGATTAATGAAAAAGATGCAGCGCTTGCATAACAGGCCAAGATGGAAGCGCACTATTCGGGTTGTCCTTAGGCTTAAACTAAGTATGTTGCACTTCAGTGAAAGGACCCGGTCCCACTCCGCCTCAGAAGCCCATTCAGCACAAAAGGATAGAAAATGAATGTACGTCCCAAAATAGCTACAGCCTGAGACAGCACTATACACCCAACACTCCCCCAGAACCACGGCAAAACACCTTGTATTTCTCAATGATTTAAAATAAGGGGGATTCAGAGTATTTTATTTTGAATTTAATTTCAATCATTGACTTTGACTCTGTCTCCATCTGCTCTGACCACATGTCTTCTAACCAGTCAGCCATTGTAGGTCACATCCGCAAAAATCAAAGTCTACCCATTGTCCTTTGAATAGACAAAGGCATAAATACTGAAGCACTGCCTTTTCTTTCTTCACGAGGACAATAAACACATTTTTTTCATTGACCAAAGTGAGGATGATACTTGATCCATGCGTGTACATTTGCACATGTCGAACCGCTGTACGGCTGTGATCGTTACCGAGCGGAAGTGCAGCAGAGTGAGTGCAACCGGAGCCGCCACGTCCCATAGATGTCAAAGTGCACCGCGTTTGCTTGCATACATATTTACCTTATATATAATTTATTCTACATATCCAAGTGTGTTCGTAGGCTACCTGTATTTGAGTGTGAGCTACTTCATTGACGAAGGATTGGATACATATATATTGGTTACATGGAGTAGATGCGGTGGACAGCTTTTTAGTTTAATTTTAATTTTTTTGTTTTATTTGGTTGGGAAAGAGTGTGTTAATGAACAGCAGTTATGTTAACACTGATTGAACTCATTTCCATCTGTTCTCCCACAATCACACTCAAAACACATCTTGACTATGTTTTTTTCACAAGAAGTTTGCACAATTTTGGCAAAATAGCTAAATGCAATATAAAAAGAGAGTTCCATGTACGTATGAAGCAATTACCTGAAGCCTTTTGATTTCAAACTAATGTATTCTCACTCCTACAGAACCCATGTCTGCTGCCTATTCCTGCAGCGCCCCCTGTGTTCAGTAGCACACATTACAGTTCAGTACAAACCATGCAGAGATCCCAAAGGACTGGAACCGCTGTTGTTGTGAGCGTCACAAAATAACGGCGGTTTCCACAAACTTTAAAATCCAGAGGCTAAACTCTCCTCAGCATTGACACGCTTGTGGAACCGGTGTTTTGAACCAGGCTCTAAAGCTGTTTCGTTGTAGTAGTAGGGTTTCATGTCTGAATGCAAAGATGCCCGTCTCCTTCTGGCCCTAAATGAAGAGCTGACGACTCCCACTGGTTCTAAACATTTTTTTCTAGTAGGAATAAAAACTTCACCGCAAAAAACGCTTGCATTATGTCGTTTGTTTTCTCACTACATTTTTATAACCAGACCAGAGTTGAGCAACATATTTGACAGTTTGGGCTTATATAAATAATGAAAAACAGAAAAGGTCTTATTTGGAATGAGAAAATAATGCTTCTGCCCGGCGACAAGGCAAAACATAATTACTTTTGATTCGATTGCAATTAATCGTGCAGCCTTTTTCAGAAATTGGCATAATCCTGACTTTCTACTTCCCTGCAACATGCGAGTGACATAACACCCACAGAAAGCTTTAAGGTGGTAATGTATGGTTTCACATTAGGACCACCCATAAATGTAACTCTTTTTGACACAATAATTATATTCAGCCTGAAGGCCTCTGCTGCTGCTTACATGAATGCAGGTTTTATGTGGCCTTTGATGGAGAGAAGGGGATCTTGTTAAGTCTTGCGTCTTCATTAACTAAAGTTGGAGATTCTTTCCTTATTATTTCCTACATCTTTTTAATGTAACTACAGACT